GAATGTCTGGACTGTAAATAATAAATCTCTTTAGAAAATTGCTCAGGGAGGGAGGGTTATTTATTAGAAATGTTAAAGGTGTGTGGGGTTTAATTATGCTTTAAGCAATGATATCTTGAAAAAATAATATTCTTTCATATCATTATGCATTAATTACCCCTTCTTATTTTAAGTAAATTACTCTACTTATGGTCTTAATTAATCCGAAATTAAATTACAGGTAATGAAGTCCTTAGAGCCCCATGTCAATGTGGTTCGTCTTTTGGGCTGTTGCACCGATAAAGATCCCACATTTGTGATTCTGGAGTATGTGAATCGAGGAAAATTACAAACCTATTTACGCAGCTCACGTGCCGAAAGGTAAGCAATGATATTATTAGTAAACTAAATCAGTATTTTAATCTCTGTACTTTTTACTTATATTTCTTATAGACACTATGGCAATACCCATGGAAAGTCAAATGTTCTGACTTCCTGCGACTTGACATCCTTTATGTACCAAGTAGCCAAGGGTATGGAATACCTCACATCACGTGGAGTAAGTGAAAAGACAAATAAATAATTAAAACAATTAACTTATAAGCAATAATGAAATACCAATATTATTATAGATTATTCACCGTGATCTGGCGGCCAGAAATATTCTAATCACAGACGATCACACTTGCAAGGTGGCGGACTTTGGTTTTGCCCGAGATGTGATCACCTCAAAGATCTACGAAAGGAAAAGCGAAGGCAAGCTGCCCATCAGGTAATGCCGATTTTTAGATAGAATATATATAAATAAGTGCACAATATTAATTGGTTCTGTCTATAATACACAGATGGATGGCCACGGAGTCTCTGTATGATAATATATTCTCTGTTAAATCGGATATCTGGAGTTTTGGGATACTCATGTGGGAGATTGTGACCCTGGGCTCGACGCCATATCCTGGTATATCGGCAGCAGATGTTATGCGAAAGGTTTGTCTGGATTTTTGACCTTTTAAAATCACACAATTATTTGCACTTTTTACACTCTTCATAGGTGAGGGATGGCTATCGTCTGGAGAAACCGGAGCACTGTCGTCGGGAGCTGTACAACATTATGTACTATTGCTGGTCGCATGATCCTCAGGAGAGGCCACTTTTTGCGGAAATAATCCAAATGCTGGACAAGCTGCTTCACACCGAAATGGACTATATCGAGCTGGAGCGTTTTCCCGATCACAATTACTATAATATTGTTAGTCTTAGCGGTGAGAAGCTGTAGACAAACAGACATTCCGTGCACTGAATCCCAAGAGCTTTATTACCTCCAAAAGACTACCGCGAGTCTTGGTTCCATATTTGAATTTGAATAACTGAAGGGTCTTAACTGCCATTGCAAAGAAAGCGAAAAAGAAACTGTATTTTCCTGGATATCAGATGAGTCCAAATACCAAATTATTGTTGTAAAAATTAATCCAGTTTCGAATGCATTTTGAATTCCTTTTTACTTGTAAGATAATGGAACCTGCATCATGTTTGATATGTGTTCAAGTTTTATTTATTGGATTTGTATTATGTACTTTAATTTATCAATCGTGTGTATAGAGTTGTAATTTATAATATATTATTGTTAAATAAATATACCTTATACTTTATAAATCCTTAAAGCGGGACAACTTTTCTTAGTGTGTCCTCGCTAATGTTATGCTTATTCATAAGTCAAACTAAAGACCTTAAAAATCGTTGGCCGTATTTCTACATTTACTCTGATGGTCGACAGTGACAGAGACTTGGGGCCGTGGCGAAACCAAAGTTAGCAGCCCAAGGAAACAGAGTACGTGCATAAATGATGCCAGCGGGGCTGATACCTAAAAGACTCTCTACGTGATGTGCATCACAAAAAGATATTGCATGCTCGTATTGAACACATATCGATTCTCTGCAAAACGTAACTCAAACCAAAGTTTCTCCATGGCAAAAACTTTTTTATTAACGTAGCTCTAGCTGCAGATTTAGTTGGGCAAGTTAAATACCCCCAAAATCAGCCAAAATGCAACAAGTGGTCTTAGCATCGAAAAAAGTTAACCGGGTTTAAGACTGAGCTGGTAAAATAGGGTTCAAGGGTTCGCAAAATCTACGAAAACTGCTCTTGGTACTTAAATTCGAGTTATTTTTTAAGGGGAATTTCAAATATTACCGACAGAGCACAGCAACAGACTAATTGCCCGGTTAAAGGAAGAAGGCTTTTATATCTTCTTCGAGCCCAAGCAGGTACCACATGGCGCATGAGTGTGCTCTGATGGAGCACGTGCTTATGTTGTTCGGGAACATATATAAAATATTGCGAAACCATATGTCTGCCAATAGCAGAGATATTTTTGTTGTCATTCTGCAAGAGAGAAAGGACCTTAAGGAGAGCTGAAAACATAACAATCAGCTGATTTACATAATCAAAATTGTTATTATATTAAATATGTTTATATATAAATTCAATCTGAATCACTCTTTAGGGAAATGTGTTAAATTTTATTAAATTTTCTATAATTTAATAGTATTTATTAATAAACAAGCATTTGTTAAAAGACGTCGCTCTTAGGAAGCTTTTCGTCTGGTAAAAGGACATGCGCAGAAAGGTAAATATTAAAAGCTTGCAAGTCTGTTTTAAATCATTTCGAAAGCAATTAGGAGTCCGAATTTGAAAACATTTGCAGCGTCATGAAAGTCGAATTTAAAAAATATTGAATGAGTTAGTTTACTTAAATGACAATTTAATAAATAACAAGCAAGGAAGCTAACTTCGGCCATATAAGTTAAGACATTCACTTAAACATTTTATATTCGGCGTTTGCATTTTCCTCTATTTTTAACGATTCTTTGTATGCCAGCAATATGATATAGTAGCCCGATTTTTATAAAATTTTATTCAAATTCTACATTAATATATAATGGTTGTTAAATTTGATGAAAATCTGTTTTAATCTGGAAAAGTTATCAAATTTTTTCTTAATATTTTCCGATTGTTCCTATCGCAGATATGTAGTCCACCGATTCGCTATGCTCCGACTTATATACTAGTGAAATTATATAGAAGAATAACTCCATAGTTTCATTCAATGAGCTTACTCTTAATTTGTTCCAAAACAAATCTCTCACTATGTACATATGATTCCCAACTGGTTCTAACATCCCCGGAACGAAGTGACTCCTGCCGGACAAGTCTCAGAAATGTCTTGTGTTACAAAAGTTGCAAGTCATTGTTTATTAGTGTTCAAAGTTAGTAACTGATCATAATGCATACTTAGTGCTCATAGATACTTACTGATCATAGATACTTACTCTTCAAAGTTACTTACTGGTCTAAGTTACTTACTGTTCAGAGTTACTTACGGTTCGAAGTTATTTATTGATTATAGTTAAATTAAATAGCTCGCTGTTTCTCTCTGCCTCTTCCCTCTCTCTCTATGGCTATCGCTTTATGTTAATCTCTAGAGGCAACTCCTTTCCCGCGCACTCACACTCACTTTCTCTTCTCTTCTCTTTCCTCGGGAACTATAAATAGAGGCGCTGAGGTCGCGCGCGCCTCAGTCTGTCCTAGGGGTACCTAGTGTTCACATCGACAGTGATAGTGAAAGTGATCAAAATTATGACGTGGCCAATGCAAAACATCTGGATGACAAGGAAGAAGCTTTCTTGGATTCTTGGTTACTACACTGGAAGGAAGTAAGCAATGTCGTGTCCCTTACTGCGGTAAGTCTTAACCATTTATATTATGTATGAAGCTGGTGATGGGATCAGGCCTAGGTCCAATTTATTTGTTTATTGCCATGGTCCCCTTTAGATACCTAGATACTCGTATACTTTTAGATAGTTTAGATACTTACTGATATAGTTACTTACTGGTCATAGATACTTACTGTTCAGAGTTAATTACTGATCAATGTTTTAGAAATCGTCCGATTGTTCCTATGTCAGATATATATATATAGTTACTTGTTGCTCTTAGTCATTATTGATCATAGCTACTTACTTGTCATAGATACTTACTCTTCAAAGTTACTTACTGGTCTAAGTTACTTAGTGAACATAGCTAGTTACTGCTCATAGATACTTACTCTTCAGAGTTACTTACTGCTCATAGTTAATTACGGGTCATAGTTAATTACTTATCATAGTTCTATAAATAGTCCGATTTTTCCTATGGCAGATATATATATGTATATATATTCCACCGATTCGCCATGCCCCAACTTATATACAAGGAATGTTGAATAGAAGAATAACTTCATAGTTTCATTCAATGAGCTTGCTCTTAATTTGTTCAAAATCCATTTTCGCACTATGTACATATGATTCCCAACTGGTTCTAACATCCCCGGATCGAAGTGACTTCTGCCGGCCAAGTCTCAGAAATGTGTTGTGTTACAAAAGTTGCAAGTCATTGTTTATTAGTGTTCAAAGTTAGTGACTGGTCAAAATGCATACTTACTGATTATAGTTACTTACTGCTCTTAGTTACTTACTTGTCATATATACTTACTTATCATAGTTGATTACTGGTCATAGATACTTACTCTTCAGAGTACTACTACTTACTCCACTTAGTTAATTCCTGTTGAAAGATACAAACTGATCCTCTACATTTAACAACCGTTTCTCTGGCAATTATATTTTATAGTATTCAGATTTTCATAATATGGCATTATAATTACAATACCCCGCAAGGTTTTAAAAAGCATACAAGGTATAATAATGAAGTGCTTTTGAAAATGTATTAAAAATAGTTTTCTTTTATAAGTTGTAATCTTCAGCATGTCAGTTTATTCATAAATTTCAGTTTTGAAAAAAATCGCTTAAGCTAAATAATAATTAAAATAAATACATATATGTATATATGATGATTTAGATCTGGCATAAATAACTACTTTAAGCTTTAAACTAAAGAAAAGTCCAATGCCAGCATATGAACCCCTATTGCACAGCCCCTATATCCCTCATCCTAAGTATTACAGACAATTCCTTGATTTAATTTAAATAAAATCATTATTGTCCGAGCCGTGCAATTTGGTTTCCTCGTTCTCCCGCTCCCACTCGTTCATCTTGGCCTGCATGATCAGATCCTGGAAGGATCCATACTCTGCATTCTGCCGGGTCTTGGCAGTGAGACCCACATCCCCTCGTCGTCATAAAGGATCTCGGAGGCATAATCATTGTCCTCGTTGTTGCCCTCGAAATCCGTCTCCGAGTCCGAGGAGAAGCCGTCGCTCTTGGGCATGTCCAGATCGGAGTAGTCGCTCTCATCGTCCCGCGGCAGTCCATGCTTCAGATAGAACGAGTTGAGCAGACTCTCGATCCTCCAGGAGGGCATATCGGAGACCATCTTGACGGCAATCTTGCGGCGTGGCCTCTTCAGGGGCTTGTGGTGGGGCCTGTCGGCCAGCTCGAAATTCAAGGAGGTCTTCAGCATTCGCTTGGAGGCGGTGAGTTTCTTGAGTATGGATCGGTAGAGGTTCAGGAACTGATCGGGCTGCTTCTTGGCCTGAGGCAGGGCCTTGGGATTTTCCAGGATAAAGCGATTGAGGAGCTCCTTGGTGCCCTGCTGATCCTTTTGTGACTTCAATAGTTCAACTATAGGAAAAAACAAATTAGAAAGTTAATAATGGCTTAAAGTGGTGTTTTGATTTGATTTAATTCTACAAAAATCATAACATAAAAATGTGCTATGATCTGTATGGAAAACCCACCTTTTTCCTGTGTTAGTCCGAGTGTATTCTTGAAGACTCCCCAGTCGTCCTTGGTAGCTTTCTTGATTGGATTCTTCTCCACGCTTTTAATATACAAAGCCAGGCAGCTCTGCTGAACGGTGAGCAGCAAAATGACAATCTTTCCCAACTGCATTTTGAGTTTCGAGTCCTTGTGCGATGTGCTTCTTGCGGAAACTGCGGTGAATGTGATGTCCTCGCTGAAGTCCTCCTGGCCTTTTATACCTTCTCCGCAGGCCGCAGGCGCTGATCCGCGTTAATTGACATAACCACACATAACCGATAATCAGACAAAGGCCGCAAAGCAAAGGCTCTTGACACTCGAGACATCCGGGGCGCCTGCGTCCTGCGTCCTGCGACCAGGAGTCAACAGAGGACGACATGTGCTTGATTGAGCAGCGATGCCGATGCGATGCTCCTGGCTGCTCATTGTTTTTCTAGGGAACACTTAGCGCGAGCCGCGGCAATTAAACGGCCATACCGAGCGCAGGACACGGGGAAATCAGACGCCGACAGGTAGCCAGCGAGTCGAGTCGCAGGACGACGACACTCGGCCACTCGACGGCGACGAATGTGGGAATCAAAGTGCAGTAATTGAGTCGCTTAAAAGCGATGAGGAGCTGGATGATATGCCAAATGGCTTCTACATCGGCTTCGTCTTCGTATTTGGTTTCGGTTTCAGTTTCAGTTTCATGAATGTAGAATGCACACAGGACTCGCTATACTCGATCCTGGCCCGCTCCAGGTAGACGCTCGCCTTTCAAATGCGAAAGGAAGTACAAATAAATCCTAGCGCCAGCCATAAACGGATCAACTGCGCCGATCTCAATCCGCTGCTGGTCGCTGTCGACAAGTTTTTCGCTAATTATTCCTGAATGCGGGTTTTATTGATGCAATATAAATAATGCAAATGTCATTTGAGGTGGCAGCGCAGACAAGCGTTGATCCTTAAAAAATTAGTCATCACAGCCGACAGCTGACGGATGCATAATTATGCAAATTGTATATATAACATCACATGCAAGTTGGTTATTATTTATTTTCAAACCCTTATTGGTACATAAAACTATGCTATTTTTATTATGATTTTATTTTCAGACTCCGTAATAAGTCAATCTTATTTAATTTTTATAATCTTGCAGGGTACTCTAATATTAGTTGGAAGCTTAAAACTCAGTGAAGGAGTCATTTCCCACAACATTAATCATATATATTCTTTATCAGCATTTACAGCCAAGTCAATTAAGCCATCTCCGAACAAAAAATTAAATTAATTTTTCAAGTTTTGAAAAAAAAGATAAGGGGTTACATCGTTAAATTTGTCAAAAATTTGCAACATTTTTAATTTTATATAATTCTAAATTGTGTTTGCAGATTTGTTATTCTAAAAAAAACTGGCATAGAAACGTTTCCCGATTGGATTTCAATGAATTTATGGTCTAGTTATTCTCGATTTTCACTGAATGGGTATAGAATTGTTAATTCCCCAAATAAGCTTTCTGTCTTGTTTTATAAGTTTTTAATATATAAATATATACAATTAATTTAATTTTTTTTGTAGATTGCTGGTATTTGCCGGTAGATTTGATAAGTGAGATTCAGATATGTACATATGCATATTAAAAAAAAAAAACAACAACAACAACAAAGGTCTAATATATTAAATATTTGAAAGAACGGCCTTAATTAATTAATAGAAAAAGTTATTACAAATTAGTACGAGAATCTAGGTTCATAAATTGTTAGGAAGTTAAGGTGATCCATTGACTTAAAATCAGCGGCAGTCTGTGGTTCTCATGGTTGCCGAAAAATCAGGGAATAAGTAAATACAATTTTATTAATCCAATTAGAACTACAGTAAGCTTAGTTATGTACTTAAAAATAATGTTCATCATCTCTCCAGTAATTTGTATATGTTTCCCAAATCCAAAATCCAGATGAACCGTATTATAGTGATATAATTTTTGAAAGAAACTGGGCTTGGGATGGGGCGTAAGATATCCTGAAAGTAATACATATTCGGAGTCCCCACTAAGATCTGTATAAATTAATAATAAAATGGTGACAATACTTATTATAAATGATACCCAATTTTTAGTTTGTAAAATTGGTTGACCACATTAAACAAAAAAAAAGATATCAATAATAAATAATGAATAAATAATTGAAAATAAAATCAGGTACGAAGATTTTTTAACCTAATGAAATCGAAGATTTACAAACTTAAATTATTGCCTTTTTGCACACTTATTTTAAATTTTGTCTACAGCAAAAGCAACATCACTCCTTTGCAGCAAAAACAAAAGAACAGGGAAATTCATATTATAAACCGAAAATTTTAAGTTCGAATTTAAAAAGGCGATAACTTCCCGCCACGGTCAGAGTTTGCACTAACTTTCAGTTCTAAGCCAGGATCGAAACTTCAAATAGTGCTTGCATTTTCCGCTAGATGGGGTTCTATGTGGAACTAAATTATGGTTGGAGTCTGTGCTACTGCGAACAATATAGGTCAGTAATACAAAGTAAGCAGTGCAAAACAGTGCAGCAGATTGAAACTGCAAATGGTGCTTTAATTTTCCGCTAGATGGAGCTTAAAATATATGGAACTAAATTATGGTTGGAGTCTGTGCTACTGCGAACAAGATAGGTCAGTAATACAAAGTAAGCAGTGCAAAACAGTGCAGACACAGACCACAGCAAAGGCACAAACATTATTTTGGACCCCAGCCACAGCAAAGACATAAATCCAAGCGCAGATGCGAACCACAGTATGAGAGGGAACCACAGCACGGATTTGAATTGCGGACTTAGATTTTTCAACAATTTCAAATCTTTTAATTGATTTAATTAATTAATGGTCCGGGAAATAATTTATGTTGTACCTTTTTAAAAGCAATTTTTATAAAATCTTTTAAAAATCATTATGTGTATCCAATTTGAAAGGTTAGACTTAAACATAATTTTTATTTAATTACTTTGAATGGAACATGACCATAATGTTCATCTTCTGATCGCAGGATCTCAGTAATTGAAGATATTAAACTATCAATTTAAAGAATTACCACAGTCTTTGCATTCCATAGCATTGCCCATTCAATTTAACTCCCGCAAATAACTATTCATTTTATTAATAAGACACCAAATATTTAATAAAAAACTAAGTTTTCTTTCTTTAATTGAATTTTTGTAAACGCACGTAGTTTTTAATTAATTTAATGCTCTACCTTCTGATACTTTATTAGAAATTCTAAAATAAATAGTTGTTAAAATAAACCCGAAACGTATATTAACTTAATTCAAAACTTTAAATTTTTCATAATTGAGTATAAATGTGAGAATATGTTTACCTAGCAACATGCACATTTCAATTTCTGTCACACCTGTCCGTTTTTAAACCTGTATATATTTTCCATGCACACCGTTGCTTTAGCGACCTAATTTCTTGTTTATTATTGCGTCCAACAATCAACAACAGCCGCCAATATGCCGAAAATACTATTCCAGAAGTACAAGAAGGTGGTCAGCACCATAGACCCGAGCCGTCATTCGAGCAAGTTCAAGGAGATCGACGAGGCAAAGGCTTTGGCGGAATCCGAGGGTGCTTATGATGAGGAGGAGGAGGCTTATTACGAGGAGGAAATGGGCGACTATGTGGAAAGTGACTTCAGCTTGTCTGAGGGGGAACCGGCGCTAAATATCGGCAAGATCGATCTCTCATTTCCCGAAACTATCGAGGAGTTTGAAAACAGCCCTCAATGCTATCCTCCATCGTACTACACGCTGTCCCCCAAGGAGCGGCTGCTCCTGTTGTACGCCGAGAATTTCCGCAAGCAATTGGTTCTTTCCTATCCAAAGAAACGAGCCATGGTCCTGGCATTGCCCAATGAGTGCAAGGTTCAGGTAGGTTTATTACTGATTGCATTTATTTGAGGTAATTTTCTGTTCGATTTGCAGAAATTTGTGTGCACCACCATTAGACCAACTGCGTTTGTTTATCCGGAACTCATATCCAGTGTGGAGAATATTGCCAAGTTTGTAGCCGATTTTATTGAATACGAGCCATTGGAGGATCAAATTAATTTGGTGAGTCTTGGTTTATTTTTGTTACTTTATACCTAGTTAATAAAATTATATTTATAAAGGGGCTTAACAGTGAGCTGTGAGTTCTCAAAAAACGAACTTACAAATTAAACATTATATAACCTTTGTAGTGTCTGCCCGAAAAAATACATAGTTTAACTTTACATGTGGACGTATATAATTTCATTTTTTCGTATCTATATCTTTGAACTATAAATAAAATATTTTATAATGTTGATAAGCAATGATTAACACTTGCTGAATACTTAGAAAATTAAATTCTACATCTACTTTTACTTTTACCTACAAACAAAGTAATAATATTTAAAATAAACTATATTTTGTGAGGGGTTTCAATAATATATCTGATTCTTACAAGCTGGGATCAACTATAGGAAATATTAGTGAACGGGCTGTACTTTTCCTCACTTGTTTATTTATTTGCTATGACATATGCCTCTCAAAATATGTAAGTGTTGCCTTAATAGCTAGATTTTAGTAAATGGCAAAATGGAAAATGCAATTTTAACAAGTTTTTATTATAATTCAAAGCTGAAAGTTTGTTGTTCAAGTTCTTTATATTCCATTTAAAATGCTGTCTTATAAAATGTATACTATAAAAATAATAAATTTATATCACAGAGCTAACTTTTTATCCAGAGAACATTACCAATTATTTTCAAAGATTTATTTTAATATTTAATTATATATATGTACATATATAGTCTGCAAGGGTATATACATATTTACGGCGAACTCAACAAAAGGGTTGTTGTGTCCCAAGTCTCTGTATCTTAAGAATTCAGTTCAAAATTGGCTCCCGTCCTTCACAGACTCTCACTTCATACATATATGAAATTTTAACAATTTTAGTCTTAACATTGTCAATGTTATCACATACAAAATATTCTATTACTGCAGTTCAGTCAGTTTAAAGAATTAAATGACATTTTCGATCTATTTGTGAGCTATTATTAAGCTTAATTAGATCAGTCAATATATAAAGAAAAGATTTCATATTAAATTCCTAAAATAAAATAGACAAATTTTCTAGATTTGTGGCTTATAGCATTTTCAAAAAAAATTCCAAAGATCTAGCCACTAAATTGCTAAACTGCCAGCACTGTACAGCAACAATCAATTAAAAAAAAAAAAAAAAACCAATACAGAGGGGAATAAATTTAAATCCATTAAATATTGCTCTATGACATCTCACTGCCTATGAGTAATTCAAGACATATGAATCATTCACTCTCAAAATATGTCAGTGTTGCCTTAGAAGCTAGATAGTAGTAAATTGCGAAATGGAAATTAGGAAAAAAACAATTAAGGCATATAAGCTTACTACACTGCAATTTTAACAAATTTTGATTATAATTCAAAGCTGAAAGTTTGTTGTTCAATTTCTATATATTCCATTTAAAATGCTGTTTTCAAAACTAGAAAATGTAAAAATAATAAATTTATATCACAGTGCTGACTTTTGATCCTGAGAACATTACCAATTATTTTAAAAGATTTATTTAAATATATAAATATATATATATATATACCCTGCAAGAGTATATATTTATGGCGAATTCAACAAAAGGGTTGTTTGTGTCCTGCGTCTCTGTATCTTAAGAATTCAGTTCAAAATTGACTTCTGTCCTCCACATACTCTCCCATCATATACGAAATTTGATCAATTTAAGTCTTTACATTGTCAATGTTATCACATACAAAATATTCTATTACTGCAGTTCAGTCAGTTTATTGAATTAAATGTCATGTAGTTCGATCGCTTTGTGAACTATTATTAAGCGTAATTAGTTCAGTCAATATATAAAGAAAAGATTTCACGTAAAATTGCTAAAATAAAACAAACAAATTGCTAAATTTGTGGCTAATCTCATTTTCAAAAAAAAGTTCCAAAGATCTAGCCACTAAATTGCTAAACTGCCAGCACTGCACTTGATTGTTACAAAAAAAAAATTTAAAAACCAATACAGAGGGGAATAAATTTAAAGCCAATTAATATTGCTCTATGACATCTCACTGCCTATGAGTAATTCCAGACATATGAATCACTCGAATGTTACTGAGACAGGTTTTGAGTGACCGCAAGATCGTCGTCAATTTCCATGGGTTCGGAGCCAAGTGGGAGATCTCGCGCACCCACAGCCACATCTACATCCATTGGCTGCGAATGATCTTGGTTGAGTTTTTCTCGCATAATGCCAAAGAAGGCTATATTTTGTATATTACAGCTCGAAGGCAACAAGTTCAAATGTATCTTAATTTCTAAAACATCTACGTCGACATCCACATCGATGCCGACATCGACATCTACGTCAACATCCACATCCATTTTCTCCGAATGATCTTGGTTGGGTTTTGGTCGCATAATGCCAAAGAATTCCATTTTGTAAATTACAGCGCGAGGGCAACAAGTTGAATTTTATCTTGCCGACGATTAGTCTTACTATATAAAGGAATATTATAAAGTTAAGGCTTCTGTGGCATCGACATCGACATCGACATCTACGCCGACATCCACATCCATGGGATTCGAATTTCTTGGTTGCCAACGATTTGCAATTTTGCAAATTACAGCGCGAGGGCAACAAGTTGAAAATTATTTCGACGACGTTTATTTTTATTTACATGCTATATATAGTTATTGTATGAAGTTCATGCTTCTGAGATTTGCTATTTTCGCTGAGAGAGGCATTCGCTCCGCGACGGAATTGCTGATATTTAAGCGTACATATCGCGGAAAAACGACTTGAGAATTCGAGAGATCGTGTCAGAAAATGTAGAGGCGACTGAAAGGGCTCTAAAATGAAGTTGACCAAAAAGTATGCTACACTTTTCGTAAGCTCTAAGCCAATGCAACAATGCAGTTTTTTCCAGAAAACATTTCTAATTATTTCAAAGAATTTATATAGTACTCATGCAGGGTATTATAATTCTAGCCACTTGTCATATAAAAATATAAATATATAACGGTCCAAAGAATGTTATTATAATTTTAGCCAGAAGTTTGTAATGCAGTGAAAAAATCATTTTCGACCCTATAAACCATATATATTCTTGACCAGCATCAACACCAGCGTCGATTTAGCCATGTCCCATACTTTGATTAAAACCTAAAAAGGTATATAAACTTCGCCTTTCCGATGTTAATGTCCTTTATTGTTATTAAGAATACAGCATAAAATATACCTACCGCAGTTTTTGTTTAAAGATGTGATACTTACTGTAGCTGTTAACAAAAACGTTTCCCAATTGTAAATAAAAACACCATCTCGTTTGCAATTTTAAGAGTTTCATAAAAATTATCTAATTATTTGTTTATTGAACATGTATTTAAAATTACATTTAAATTTGTTAATGTCTATTTAAATATCGCATTAATTTCGAATTAAGAAAATTCTTTTGAGCACATTCTTATTACATTTCCATTTATCATAATACGAAATTTAAAAACGCTTGATATCAAATGCACGTTGCTTGCGACAACATTCGCCTTGTTTGCAGGTCAAAGGTCGAAATGGGTTGTAACAAAAATAATATCTATAATATTTCTCTAGAATGCATGGGACCGAACACAGGAGTCGGAGGAGCAAACTCATAAGCTTAAAATGTCACAATAGCTACAATGAGAGGTTCTCGATATATACACTTAACCCGTACGTACGATTAATTAATATTAGTACAATGGAATTGAATCGAAAAAGACTGAAAGTAGTTAAGCGCCTGACTCTGGGCGGTCGTTAGGCTCGATAGGCTCACAGCTGGGAGGAGATGCGCGTAAATTCGGAGGAGCCCGAGTCCAGGTCCTAGTCTAGCTGGAGCTGGAGCTCAGTTCGTCGTACTGCTGGTACTCGCCCGTGATCTGGCAGTCGTCGTCAGTCGGGTCGTCGTCGAGGTCACAATGTACAAATTCGTAGGGGGGGAAGAACAGGGAGCTTAGTAACGTGGCCGACGATTGGTAGACGGCTGGCGCATACACATGGCTGGCGCACCGGGATGTGGTGTCCAGCGCCTGGCTAGATCCACCTGGCGACGGGCCCCCCAGGAGCACCGGCTGGCTCGAGTCATTCGTATTTGTGTTCGTATCCGTGGCTGGCTCCGTAGGCGCCAACTTTGGTTTTTCCTATTTGCGGCGTCGGCTCTTGCCCCGGCTGTTGCTCTCCTCCAGCTCACCGGCGGTATCCTCGGCATTGTCCGGATCGCAGGACACGGCCGGCGCACTGGGAGTGGGAACCGGAACTGGGGCCATCTCATTGCCCGACTTGATGGCGGCGATCAGGAAACGTAGCTGCATCAATTGGACCGCTGTCACCCGGGGATTGCTGCAGTTCTCCAGCCATTGCAGAAACTTCTCGCCATGGCGTATGGCCTCCACATCCTCGTCATCCTCCCCGCTACACTCCTGCAGATATCTGGCCTTCTCCTCCTCGTCGGTCTTGTTGGAATTGTTATTATTGTTATTATTGCTGGCGCTGACATCATTGTTGTTTGTGTGAGTGTTGTTAGTGTCATTGAAGCTGCCCTCTGAGTCACAGCCCGCTTCCGGTTCCGGGTTCAGTGGCGCCCCAATCTTGAACAGCATATTGTCCAGGATCTTTTTGCAGTCACTCGGAGGATCATTTTGTGACTCTTCCGGGTTGTTGGTCATCTTATTGGGACTACTGTTGCCATTCGGTGAATTGGCCACGGGACTTTGCGTGGGCGTCATCACCTTGCCAGCTGCCGATAGATCCTCTGGTTTTCCCCCACCCTCTGCGTCCGCCTCGGCCTCCACTTCACCCTCGAGATCGGTTTCGGTGGCCTCATCGGCCTCGGCATTCGGTTCATTGGAGGACAAGCTCCGGACCGATGGCGTCTCAGTCTCTTTGGTGAGATGGGAGTAAAGGATATTGGAGGGGTCACCGCTGCCTCCTGCCTCGGCGGCTGCGGCATTGGCCGCTTGCTGTTGCAGAGAGTTAGCCTGGAGGGCAGCCAAAGTCGCAGCATTGGGATTAAGGGTGTGCAGGCTGGCTCCAAAGGCCTTGCACCAGTTGTACCACGCCGCATTCTTCTCATCCAAGCTTCCCGATGGCGTGGACGAGGGCGTCAGCGGCGCTGAGGGTATTGGCGGCGTCTGACCCGGCTGCTGGCTCATGTGCTGAGGCGTTGAGGAGCGGATGGGAGGACTGGTCACGCCCAGTGGGATTGTGGGCGGGTACAGCGGATTGAGGCCCAGCATCGTCTGCTGTGACTTGAGCCAGTAGAGCAAGGGATCCTCGGCCAGGTTGGATAGTGTCATCATCTGCGGGGGTGGGATCACAGCTCCGGGACTCTTGATGTCGCCCGCCTTCACCTCCTTCTTAATGCTCAGATTGAGGCTGCCCGCATCCCCTGGAGGCTTCTGTTTGGCCCAATTCTTCACCGACAAACCCGATGGAGCCCGATCTCCACTATCACTCCTGGGACTCTGCACTTGCAGGGGCGTCTTGGGATTGGCAGTGGGATTGGGATTGGGATTCGGGTTCGGGTTCCTGGGGGGAAAGTTACTCAGTCCAGACATGGCCGCCAGCCCGGGATTGAGCTGGGCCAGCAGGTTGAGGTTGTTGGTCAGCTCATTGAAGCTGATCGCCAGCGGACTCTGTTGGATGCCCGTGAGTCCCGAGAGATGCGTGAGACTCGACAGCGGACTGATGGCATTCAGGGAGGGATCAGCGGCGGCACCTGATCGATTGATGTCAGCCCCAAAGACCTTGCTCTTGACCCCATTGAAGGCCACATAGTCCACCGGTAGACCATTGTAGCTCAACTCTGTCAGGTTCTTGTTTGTACTGTAGTCCAGGCCGTTGAGTGGTGATCGCTTAAAGCCGGCCAACTCGTCAAACTTCAGTTTGTTGGAGAAGTTCAGGGGCAGGGCGCCCGCATCCAGGCGCTGGCGCTTCTCTGGCGGACCCAGTGGCCCCATCGGCCCCAGCGGACCTCCACCGGACACATCCAGCTTATCCGCCAGGGAGTCGGCGCACAGTTTGTCCGCACTGGACTGGCGGGACATGAAGCGCAGCTTATCCTCGTTCTTGCACCAGCCGCGCAACGTGGACTCCGGCACACCGATATCCCGGGCCACCGAGGCCTTGGACTCGCCATCGTGGATGCGCTGGATGGCATGGATCTTGTCGCGCGGCGTCAGGCTCCGCAGGGGCCGCTTGCCCTTGGTGCCCATGCGGATGTTCATGTGGGGGTAGCTGGAAATATCCAACTTGAGGCCGTTGTCGAACAGCTTGGCGCCTGAAAGGATAGCGGGTAGAGCAGAGGAGAGGAGTCTTAATTAATTACCGTGACACACTTGGCTTATCGCCTATCGCCTATCGCATACAGTGCGTTCCCATTCGCCGTTCGGCCAGCACATATATATCGCTATGTGCTCGTCGCCTGGCGAATGCGCGTCCATGTACTTGTGCCCCCCCCCCCCAGTGCTTCGGGGTTGGGGGTTGGGGGTTGGGGGTCCAAGGATGTGGCTGCTATGGGTGTTAACGGGGTGCTGTTTCGCATTTTCGCACGGGGCTCCAATAAAATCGCAGAGCGCGCGCGTTTTAAAGTTTTACAGACAAGTCGCGGGCGGTGTAAATAAACCGTACAACCGTACGTATGCGCTATATTGCGTATACGTACGGGTGTACCAAATATATATACGTATATATATATATATATAGAGATGTATAAATTTATATAGGTATAGAGCAGCGCTTGTGCTGCCTGCTGAGATGACAAAATCATCCGCTCCCGCTCTCTGCAGGCAAATGAGCTGCGGCACGCCCCCTTTCGCCTCTTTTGCGCACGAAGGACATGCCAAAAATATCGTCGGTGTGTCTGTGTGTCGGTGTGTGTATACGTGGAGACAATGGAATATGCTAATTGGTGCGTTGCCTTCGCGCCGCGACGCGCCTGCTCCAAAATGCAGCGCGCAACGCGAGCCACGAATAAGCAACAGGACGAGCAGGACATTCGGCAGAACACTGCCGAAGTGCTCCCGAGCACGGGTGCCACAGAATTTATAACTTGTTTACCTGTCTCGCTGCAGCGCAGAGCGAACATCCCTCAAACGCAACGGCCATCGCCTGTTGCGCCTTGGCCTCACTCCCCTCCCAACAAGCCTTCCTTCCTTGCCACTTCCTGTAGACTTCCCAAAAACTGTAGCAACGGTCGGAGCAGGTGCAGCGTCTTTTTGGCCAAACTCAAGTCTTCTTTTCGACCGGGGCCAAGTGCGTTGCCAAGATAGAACCTGAGCGAACAACAATATGCTCCGCCTCCATCTCGCCAGAAAGTGAGACATGCAAAAGAGCTCGCCCCGTGGTGCAATTTTAAAATGAAAAACACGTTTTGCGCATGACTGACACATGATTTCTTTCCTCCTCTATATATCTACATACATATGTATGTATATATTCGTTTATATATGTATATACGAATATATATATGTGTGTGGCATTCAAATATACAAGGAGAGAATAGACTGAGACTGAAACTGCGACTGAGACTGAGGAAGAGAAGCCCATTCGCTGTGCTAAGAGAGTTTTGTGGGGGGATTGAAGAGAGCAGCAGGTAGCCAAACTGGTGGAGTCTTTCGTTTGGACATCCATCGAAATGCCGTCTTGGCAGGTTTCGCAGCCACTTGAACTGGACTTTACACGTTTGCCAGCTATTAATTGGGGGATTCTGGTCTTGGGACTTGGCTTCCTCAGTTGGATTTTGGTCTAAACTTAAGCCGGGGAATCGGGATAAGCCATTGGCAAGTGACCAAAGTCATCCTAAGCATTGTTTGGAGGCTAAGATTATTTAAAATATTCAAAATGGGTTGAGGAAAACATCATTTATGCTTGGGAAGGAGTGAATTTTATCAGTTAACTCTGAACCTTTTAGTTTTTGTAAGGGAAACTAATATTTTGAATTACATTTCCTTATATGGGTATAATTAAAGAAAATATTCTGTGATTTGGAGAGATTGAGATCTTATGAAATGTGTTTTTTATTAATGTTGTGAATTTTTAAATATTTAAGGCATATTTTTAACTGAACAAACATTTCAATCAATACTTTATTCTCCATTTTGTATTTAAATCATATTTAATTATTCAATACCTATATTGTTAACAAAAAAGGGAAGTTATCTCAGGAAACCGATCATAACTAAGCCAAAAATGCACTCATTTCAATTCGGAAATCGTTCCTATATTAGTTTTTATTAAATTAATTAATCTGTATACTCAATTTTAAATTTAAAAAAATTAAAATGTTTGCAAATTTTTGACAATTTTAACGATGTAACCCCTTATCTTTTGGACAAATTTGGAAAATGTTATTTTTCAGAGTCAGAACTGACTCCTTTAGTGCGTTTCAAGCTTCTGACTAAAATTAGGAAACCCTAAATGGGTATACAAATATTATTATAAGTAAACAGTTTAATAAATTAGATGAAAATAAATTATATTTCAAAGCCAGTAATAAGACAGAAACTAAAGCAAAGTATCATATATATTATTTTAAAGCTGTGACAAGCCTTGTAAAAGAATTAAAATTTTGAAAATTAAATTACAAACCCTAAAAACGTACATATAAAATAGGCAACTTACAAACAATAAATATATACAAAAACCCTCAATTAAGTTGGCAAATGCAATCGTAATAAATGAAAAACAAGAAGCCGAGGAGAAAATCAAGCACACAATTGATTAGCCCCATTAATACCTATTTGAATGATTAGGCCCATTGATTGACCGAACTATTATTATTGACCTAGCCCGACACCTAATTCTACTTGGGGTTTAATGCACACTCCGGCAGGTGCCCGACCCCCTACCCACTCACACCCCCACCCACACCCACTCTGAAAACACACAAAACACCCAAGACACCCCCTCAAGAATAACTGGGATGCTCATAACCAATAGAGCAGCAAATAACTGTGTCGACGATGGTGCATGGGACTGGGCTCACTCCGCAGACTGACCCTCACCAGGACTCTCGCAGGACCCTAAACACCAACACCACCCCCCTTGAACCTGCACCCAAACACATATCGAATAAAACTTTTACAGCTGTATAAAAATTACAAGGTCTTTGGCCATTCAGCAGCAGTCGGAAAAGAATTTGTACTTTCGCTTTCGCCGGCACAGGGAAGGTCCTTTTCGTCCTGCCGTGCCGTCCTTGTCCTGGCCGGCTCGCCATTAAACTTTTCACGAACCGAACTGGGACAGTGAGAAGTGTGTAAAAAAATCTAGTAACAACAGAAAAAGATGAAAGAAATAAATATAAAAGAATTACACCAAGTTTGTCAGTGTGTGTGTGTGTGTGTGTGTGAAAGGGGGGTCCTGGTCTGGCTTTGGCTCTGTCTGTGTCTGCTGTGCACACACATGCACACTCGCAGGACACTCACTCACAGGACATACGTATGTACGGCTGTATGTACGGCTGTAATGGAATGGCCAACCGTCTGGCCATCTACGAGTGTGTGAGTGCTGGTAAGCCTGTGTGCTAAGAGCTTCTGATTTTCCTATATACAATTATAATTTTATTGTATTTACTATTTTTTCGTTTCTTTGGCTTCGTATCGAACTCGCTCACAGACACACAGAGGAGTATGGGGCAGGGGCAGGGACATGGTGCATGCGGCAAGGACATCCGGTGGGGAGCTGGAAGCTGGGAAGTCTGGCAAATGGAGGTCAACGACTGAAACTAGCACTAATATGTGCAAGCGTTTGATAGCTCCATTCGCTTGTGTTAATGTAAAAAGAAATAAAACACACAAAAAGAGGCAACAAATAAAAATAAGAATTCCGTAGATAAAAGAAAAAGTTGCCTCGGCTTCTGAGTGTTTCTCTGTGTGTCCGACTGTCTGGGACGATTCCCATACCCAAGATATGTTTATATATTTATATATATATGTTATACATAGTACATGTGTCTGCTGTAAGTTTGGACCTGTTGGAACCAATGATATATGTGGCCTTAAGCGGCATTGCACCTTTTTATTGTGTGTTTGTTTTGGATTAACTCGATTAATGTTATTCCAGATTATCGCACTGAAGCGTGCTTTACTGTTTTGCGATTCGTTTAAGGATGCCCAAGCTTGTTATTGAGTTGTGGCATTTTAGATTTCATTAAATATACATTATATTATGAGATAAGGTGTTTTAAGAAAATTTATTTACTTTTATACAACCTGATCATATGAACTTCAAAGATTTAGTCTTGTTTGTAAGTAACTCGTTCTATATTTAAATACCCCAGACAGAGCTTGACTAAACCATAGCGTTCCTTGTGAAGAAATACAAAAATTGTAAAACTCTAAAAGTTTAGTTTAACTTCATAAACAAACACTTTCAATAGGCTCTTGATTCTACTCTATTTCCTGTTCCAAAGTAGCGATTATACATTTAATTATTTGAATACTTATATTGCATCGAATTTTGTGAATAAAATTCGTTGCCTACTTCATGGCGCCAAGAATACCATTTGTGCTTCATTTGATTTACATTTAAAAATTATTCAAGAAATTGTTATTGATATCAATTAAAACGATTACCAAATAGCATTTGAAATCGGCATTCTTAAAATATATATTCTTAAATTAAAATTTATATCTTACATTTAAAAAATTTAACCAAAAGAACATGTACATAACTCTTTGAGACAAACTTTACATTTAATGGGACTGTTGCTTCAGCGCAAATAATTAATAAATAGCACAACTTTTACTATTGATGTGGAATATTTGTATACTCCTTAGAAGGGTATTTTAATTTTAGTCAGAAGCTTGTAACTCCGTAAAGGAGTCATTTCCGACCCTATAAATATTCAGCATCAACAGTCAAGTTGATTTGGCCATCTCCGAACAAAAAATGAAATGTTCCAAATTTTGAAAAATAGATAAAGGGGTTAAAATTGTTCAAAATTTGCAACAATTTTCATTTTTATAATCGTAAATTGAGTATGGAGAAACATAGGAACATAGGAAAGCTTTCAGAATTGAAATTAATACATTTTTAGTTGTTATTTTCATGTTTTGATGTGTCGCAAAAATTGTCATAGAAAATATGGAGTGCGAATAATTGAATTCTTTATTTAAATTGCAAAACTTGTATTTTGTAAGCCGATTGTTTTTAATTTGAACAGATTTTCCTAACAAATAATCTTTTAAGGATAACTGCACCTTAATTTACAAATGACTTCTTAAGC